CGGTGAGGAAGGTCAGGTAGTAGCCGGGGTACACGCCGTGCCAGACGGCGGACAGCACGAAGGTCTGGACGGTGGGGTTCCACGTGGTCCGTTCGTAGCACACCCTGGGGGCGGGAGGCACGGCCAGGAGCGAGGTCAGCGTGCCAGGCCCCAGGCTCCAGGCCCGGACACAGCCACACCTCCCCGCAGGCCACGGTCATGGCCGGTGACCTCAGGGGCCTCCCGGCCGCGCGGGGTCAGGCTTAGGGAGAGAAATGCCCTGCCACCCTGCTGGCCTGGGAGGCTGGGAAGGGAGGGCGCACCTTTTGAGCCAGAGAGCCGTCTGGATGTTCCAGTTGTCCAGAAACATCTTGAAGCTCGTGGACCCCTGAAAAGCAGGCAAGGTTTTTCGTGGCCGGACAGAACGATGGCGTTTGAACGGGAGCAACAGGCCCCACGGCGCTAAAATCAAGGGCCGTGGCCGTGGCCGTGGCGCCGTGGTTCTGTGCCTGCACACGGCCCTTCTGGCCCGGTGAGGGGCCCTCGGGGAGCGCGTGCCTCAGGGCACACCCGCCAGCTCAGGCCCTCACCCTCCTCTCATGTGAGTGAGCAGTCACGGGGGGGGGGGGGGGGGGGGGGGAGGCGGGAATTATCCCCAAGAAAGACCCCGTGGCAGGAGCAAAGGACGCGGCTCCCGCGAGGAGGGACGTGCCCGAGCCACCTGCCACGCTCCCTACACCCGCCCTGCTGCCACCCCTCCCGCCTGGCGCCTCCGCCGCCCTCCTCCGCCTGCAGCCCCCGCTGGGCCCGCCCGGAGCATCTCCCGGCGGAGGGAGCCCCAGTCCTGGCTCAGTGGAGGAAAGCGAATTATATTAAAGACCCTCCAACCCACCCTGGCCCGTGTGGCTCAGTGGACAGAGCATCCGCCTGCGGACTGAAGGGTCCCTCCCGGGTTCAATTCCGGCCAAGGGCACCAGTCCGGGTTGTGGTTCAATCCCCAGTAGGGGGCGTGCGGGAGGCAGCCGATCAATGAGTCTCTCATCATTCATGTGGATGTCTCTCTCTCTCCCTCTCCCGTCCTCTCTGAAATCAACACAAATATATTTTTTAAACCCTCTGCACCCCCTCGGCCGGCACCTCAGAACTCTGAAAGCCAACCGTGGCTCTTCGGGTGCCGCCTGGCGGCCGCCTTCCCAGCACACACCCACCTCTATCTGCCGAATCCGCAGGTTGGAGACCAGGTCCCAGCGGGCCGCCCCGTGCCCGTCGAAGCCCCGGAACCCGAAGCCGGCCGCGTTGTTGATGGCGTCGGCTGCAGGGAGGGAGGGGGGGGGTGAGAGCCGCGCCCCCACCCGCCGTGTCCTCCCGCATCAGCTCCGTCTGCACCAGGGAAAACGCGTGTATTCTAAGGAGACCAGACGTCCCACGTTTGGCGGGACTGTTCCAATTTCTAACAACCTGTCCCGCGTCCCGCGATTTTTGGAAAGAATGGGGACTTTCATAAAACGCCGTGGGACGCGGGACAAATCGTTAAAAATCGTGACTGTCCCGCCAAAAGCGGGACGTCTGGTCTCCTTGGTGTATTCCCGTGTCTGTCTGACTCCGCCGGCCCTGTCCTCTGGGGCGGACGTGGCCTGAGGCGGTGTCTGCCCGGCAGGCAGCCGCGTGCTGCCCGTCGGTCTCTCCCCCGCTGCCCGGCGGGCACACGCCGCTCACCCAGCGTCCACGCGAAGTAGTACTTGGGCCTGGCCGCCAGGAGCGAGACGTACAGGTACAGGGCCTTGGCCGGCCACGAGGCCGTGGCTCGGAAGTGCTCGTCGATGTTGTGCTCCACGGGCAGCGCGTTCGAGACGGTCAGGTGGGCCAGCAGCGAGAGGCCGCACACCGCCAGCTTCTGCACCACGGCCGCCTGCGTGTGAGGGAGACGGGTCATGGCCAACCCCGTCAGAGGGGCGTCACCCCCACCCACCGCCTGACTCACCCCGAGGGGCATCACTACCCAACCCACCCCCTGAGGGCGCCACAGCCTAACCCATCCCCTCAACAGGGCATCACCCCCTAACCCAGTGGTCGGCAAACCCATCAGCCCACAGAACCAAGTATCAACAGCACCACGACTGACATTTCTTTTGAGAGCCAGATTTTTAAAACTTAAACTTCTTCTAACGCCACGTCTTCAACATAGACTCGCCCAGGCCGTGGTGTTTTGTGGAAGAGCCACACTCAAGGGGCCAGAGAGCCGCATGTGGCTCATGAGCCGCAGTTTGCCCACCACGGCTCCAACCAACTGAGCCACCCGGCCAGGGATTGCAAAGTATTTTTAAAGACACAGATGGGTCAATTCAAAACGTGACAACATTCGGCCCTTGCCGGTGTGGCTCCGTGGATAGAGCCTCGGCCTGCAGACTGAAGGGTCCCGGGTTCGATCCGGTCAAGGGCATCATGTCCGGGTTGCGGGTTCCATTCCCAGGAGGGGGCGTGCGGGAGGCAGCCGATCCGTGACTCTCTCTCATCACAGATGTTTCTACCTCTATCTCTTTTCCTCTCTGACACCAATAAACACGTATTTTTACAAAACCGAACTTGCAAACATTCGTATCTCTAAGGCCCAGGAGCCTCGGCCTCGCAGGCGGGCCCCGGGACTCGGGCCCGGGGGACGGCTCTCACGTTCGGGGACGGCTCCGCGCCCGGGCCGGGAGGCCCCGCCCCGCCGTCCTCGCCCGCCCGCGGCGTCCGGTGGGCGCGGCCCTCGATGAAGGAGATGTAGTCCTTGTAGGAGCAGAGCGGGCCGGCCAGGATGCCCATGAAGTTGCAGTTGTAGCTCAGGTACTCCAGGAGGCTGGGCATGCGCCTGCGGGCAGAGAGGCCGTGAGACAGACGGACAGACAGAGCACCGGAGACTCTGCGGGAACGGCTGCGCCCGCCGCCCCCAGCACAGAGCGGGCTCCACCGCGCACGCCCGCGCGGGGAGGACTGGGCAGGCCGCTGTGCTCGCACTCAGCGGTTCTGAACACAAGAGTTTGCACACGGATCTTCACGGGCAATGGCCAGGGTTTCTACAGATTCTTCGCAGGAACACAACCCTCCCAATAAATGGACAGGACCAGGCAGACAGCACCGCCCCGACCAGCCTGTCATCTGCTCCTCGAGACGTGTGTGGCGCGGCCGGTGGCTCAGTAGGTGAGCCTGGACCTACTGGACCAGGAGGTCACAGTTCGATTCCCGCTCAGGGCACAGGCCGGGGGTGTGGGCTGGATCCCCCATTGGGGGCGAGCAGGAGGCAGCCGACCCAGGATTCTCTCTCATCACTGATGTTTCTCTCTCTCTCACCCTCTCCCTTCCTCTCTGAAATCATAAAAAATGTTTTGTTTTGTTTTTAATTTATTTTTTATTTTTTTTAATATATATTTTATTGATTTTTTTACAGAGAGGAAGGGAGAGAGACAGAGAGCCAGAAATGTCGATGAGAGAGAAACATCGACCAGCTGCCTCCTGCACACCCCCCACCGGGGATGCGCCCGCAACCAAGGTACATGCCCCTGACCGGAATCGAACCCGGGACCTTTCAGTCCGCAGGCCGACGCTCTACCACTGAGCCACACCGGTTTCGGCTAAAAAATGTTTTTAAATAAACAACAACAAAAAACAGGCAGAGAGAAGACAGTGGTCCCCGCCCACCTGACACGCATGGGGCCGCCACTTACTGGGCTGCCTGTCGGGTCTCTCACCGTCGTCTACACTGCAAAGCGTTTCTAAGACTCTCCCCGCGGCCACCGACCCCGCCGCCGCCTGCTGGCCCGCTGCAGCCGGCACAAAGGGGCGCCTGTGCGTCCACAACAGCCCATTGTGGCCCCAGCTGTTTCAGGGCCCAGAGCCACGCCGGCCCACGCGCAGCCCCGCCTCAAGCACCCTCCCCTCCCGCCCGGCCTCGCTCTGCGCCAGGACGGCGGCCACGCCGAGCCACGGAACTCGCTGAAATCCTCTGGCTCCGCCGTCCTCCCAAACTGGCCGCCTCCGGACCGCAGTGCGTCCCCGTCATCTGCCGTAAAAATGAGAGCCAGGCGCGGCTCTGTTCTCTCCACGGCCGACACCACACGCGTCCCGCCCTCCTTCAGAGAGTCCTTCCCGGACGCGACCTGTGCGACCCGGCCGGGCCTCTCCCCCGCGCTCCGGAGGGCCGGACGGGAATCCTGTGGCCGGGGCGGTCCTGTGCCCGCAGGGCGCTCCGGCCTCTCCCTCCTCCCACCCGGTGCCAGCAGCACGCCCTCCACGGCGACAACAGACACGTCTCAGACGCCCTCACGCGCCTCCTGGGCCACCACCGCCCCAGGGACGGCTGCTCAGCAGGGGCCGAGGCTCCAGTGAGAACATGACCGGCTCCCCCTCACCGGCTCCCCCTCACCGCTCCCCCTCACGGGCTCCCCCTCACCGGCTCCCCCTCACCGCTCCCCCTCACCGGCTCCCCTCACCGCTCCCCCCTCACCCCTCCCCCTCACCGCTCCCCCTCACGGGCTCCCCCTCACCGCTCCCCCTCACCGGCTCCCCCTCACCCCTCCCCCTCACCGCTCCCCCTCACCGGCTCCCCCTCACCCCTCCCCCTCACCGCTCCCCCTCACCGGCTCCCCCTCACCGCTCCCCCTCACCCGCCCCCCTCACCGCGCTCCCCCTCACAGGCTTCCCCTCACCGCTCCCCCTCACCGCTCCCCCTCACCGGCTCCCCCTCACCGGCTCCCCCCTCCCCCCTCCCCCTCACCGCTCCCCCTCACCGGCTCCCCCTCACCCCTCCCCCTCACCGGCTCCCCCTCACCGGCTCCCCCTCACCGCTCCCCCTCACCGGCTCCCCCTCACCGCTCCCCCCTCACCTCCCCCCTCACCGCTCCCCCCTCACCGCTCCCCCTCACCGCTCCCCCTCACCGGCTCCCCTCACCCCCCCTCACCCTGCTCCCCCCTCACCCCGCTCCCCTCACCGCTCCCCCCACCGCTCCCCCTCACCGCTCCCCCCTCACCCCGCTCCCCCTCACACCGCTCCCCCTCACCGCTCCCCCTCACCGCTCCCCCTCACCGGCTCCCCCTCACCCCGCTCCCCCTCACCCCGCTCCCCCTCACCGCTCCCCCTCACCGGCTCCCCCTCACCCCTCCCCCTCACCGGCTCCCCCTCACCGGCTCCCCCTCACCGGCTCCCCCTCACCGCTCCCCCTCACCGGCTCCCCCTCACCCCTCCCCCTCACCGGCTCCCCCTCACCGGCTCCCCCTCACCGGCTCCCCCTCACCGGCTCCCCCTCACCGGCTCCCCCTCACCGGCTCCCCCTCACCGCTCCCCCTCACCGGCTCCCCCTCACCGGCTCCCCCTCACCGCTCCCCCTCACCGGCTTCCCCCTCACCCGGCTCCCCCTCACCGGCTCCCCCCTCACCCGCCTACCCCCTCACCGCTCCCCCCTCTACCGGCTCCCCCCCACCGGCTCCCCCCTCACCGCCTCACCCCCCTCACACCGGCTTCCCCCTCACCGGCTCTCCCCCTCACGCTCCCCCGCTCACGGCTCCCCCTCACCCCGCTCCCAACCTCAGCCGCTCCCCATCACCGCTTTCCTCACCCCCCCCGGCTCCCCCTCACCGGCCCTCACCCCTCACCGCTCCCCCTCACCCGGCTCCCCCTCACCCGGCTCCCCCTCCCGCCCCCCCCCATCACCGCTCCCCCTCACCCGCTCCCCCTCACCGCTCCCCCCTCACCGGCTCCCCCTCACCCCTCCCCCCTCAACCCGCTCCCCTCACCGGCTCCCCCTCACCCCTCCCCCTCAACCATGCTCCCCCTCCACGGCTCCCCCTCACCCCTCCCCCTCACCACCGGCTCCCCCTCACCCCTCCCCCATCACCAACCCCCCTCTCCCCCTCACCGGCTCCCCCTCCCCCCTCCCCCTCACCGGCTCCCCCCTCACCCCTCCCCCTCACCCGCTCCCCCTCACCGGCTCCCCCTCACCGCTCCCCCTCACCGGCTCCCCCTCACCGCTCCCCCTCACCCCTCCCCCTCACCGCCTCCCCTCACCGCTCCCCCTCACCCCTCCCCCTCACCGCTCCCCCTCACCGGCTCCCCCTCACCAGGCTCCCCCTCACCGCTCCCCTCACCGACGCCCCCTCAACGCTCCCCCTCACCGGCTCCCCCCCCCTTCACCCCGCTCCCCTACACCGCCTCCCCCTCACCGGCTCCCCCTCACCGCTCCCCCCCTCACCGGCTCCCCCTAACCGGCTCCCCCTCAACCGCTCCCCCTCAACCGGCGCCCCCTCACCGCTCCCCCTCACCGGCTCCCTCACCCCTCCCTCACCGGCTCCCCCTCACCGCCCCCCTCACCGGCTCCCCTCACCGGCTCCCCCTCACCGCTCCCCCTCACCGCCCCCTCACCGCTCCCCCTCACCGGCTCCCCCTCTCCCGCTCCCCCTCACCGGCTCCCCCTCACCGCTCCCCCTCACCGCGCCCCTCACCCCCCCCTCACCGCCTCCCCTCACCCCTCCCCCTCACCGGCTCCCCCTCACCCCCGCTCCCCTCACACCGCTCCCCTCACCCCTCCCCCTCACCTCACCCCCTCACCGCTCCCCCTCCACCCCTCCCCCCTCACCGCTCCCCCTCACCGGCTCCCCCTCACCGGCTCCCCCTCACCCGCTCCCCCTCACCGCTCCCCCCTCACCCGCCCCCCCCTCACCGGCTCCCCCTCACCGGCTCCCCCTCACCCCTCCCCCCCCACCGCTCCCCCTCACCGGCTCCCCCTCACCGGCTCCCCCTCCCCGGCTCCCCCTCACCTGCTTCCGCCCCCCCGCTTCCACCTCATCCCTGCTCCCCCTCATGGCTCCCCCTCACCGCTCCCCTCACCGCTCCCCCTCACCGCTCCCCCTCACCGGCTCCCCCTCACCGGCTCACGCTTGGGTCAGCAGGGGAGCAGTCACCACAAACATCCGCCCCAGACCTGCCGCACCGGGGAGAAGCGGGGCGCAGGGCCCGGGTGCGGGCAGGGAGGCGGGCTCCGGAGGGAGAGCGAGGCCCGGGCAGTGACAGGCACTGCGCTGAGCGGGGGAGGGCAGCGGCCATGTGCGTCCTCCCGGCCTTCCCAGCGGTCGGCACCCCGCGGCTCGCGAGCCACATGCGGCTCTTCGGCCCCTTGAGGGTTCTAACGCCACTTGTTCAGAACAGACCGGCCCAGGCCGAACACCGAACACGGCCGTCTGCGCATGGGCCGCGGAGTTTCCATCATCGCACTGCACGTGTGCGCCCGCGCGTGGTGTTTTGTGGAAGAGCCGCGCTCAAGGGGCCGCAGACCCCCATGTGGCTCACGAGCCGCGGTTTGCCGACCACGGCCTTGACCTCGTCGACAGAGCGCCGGTCACAAACGATGCAGAAGCCAACCCCCCCGGTCCCCAGAGGAGGCGGGACTATGGGGCCGGGTCTTCGTTCCTGGAAAGCACGGCCTCCAGGCGGCCGCGGCGCGGCACGGCGCCTCCTCCCGTCCTGCACCACGCTGGCGGCTGACCCATCCTCACGCAGGGCGCACGGAGGCCAGCACTCACCGGCTTCGGGGTCTCACGGGGGCGGGGGGCGGAGATCGGGCAGACGGCCTCATGGCACCAGGAGGCGTGTGCCGTGCGGCGACACAGCCACGGGCCCGTGGAGCCCGAGGAGGGCTACTCGCCAAGGCGGGCGGGGCCCGGGGCCAGGGTGCGTGGGGAGGACGCTGGGTTTTCACGAAGGAAGCACCTCCCGCAGGACGAGCCAGCCGGGGCCGGCGAGAGGTGTGTGTCCCGGGCAGAGACGGCGCGGAGCAGGTGGGACACGATTAAGGGGCACGCACCTGACCGCCAGGTCCCTCTGCGACGGAGTCAGCTCCTCGTCCTTCCGGAACATCCCTGGGACACAGACAGGCACTGCGTCAGCGGCCGTTTCTCCCGCTCACACGCCCATCCCTCTTCTCGTCTGGAGTTCACACACCGTCCCAGCGGAGGCACAACTGGCTCCCTTCTCGCTCCTCGCAACAACACGAGCTCCGTCCCGTCCCAGGCCCTCGGGGGAGGCCAGCGGGTCTGGGCCGGTGTGAGGGGAGCGCACGCCTCGGGGACTAACGTGGCTCCTTCAGGGGAATTCCTTCTGAGTTAGGGAACCCCCCACGGCTCACGTATGTCGCCGTAAGTGCTGTGACGTGTCAGAAGGGTGTGAACGTGTTTCTGCTGCCGGATGGCTACGGGGCCAACAGCAGGGCTGCGGGAGGACCGGCTTCTCACCCCACACGACTCGGACTTCTGAATTCTTACCGTCGCGAACCTCAAAGGCCAGGCTGGTGATCTTCTGTGTGATTATCATCATGGGGCTGAGACAAAACAAAGAACAAAACGCGTTACAAGGGCGCCTTTAAAACAATAGCCATGACACAGGAAAGAGTTTATTCTGCTTATACGACTACAGAACCGTGAATGTCTGTTTTTAACATAAAGACCTCCAGGGGGTGTCAGAGAGAGAACTGGGGCTGCTGTGTCGGGGGGCAGGGGGGTGTGCAGGCGAAAGGGACCTGGGACAGAGCACTCGGGACGTGCTCGTCCACAAAACAAGGTCGCATGGGAGCAGGGCAGGCTGAAGACCGCCCGTCGCCTGCCTGTGTCCCCCACTGCCTGCCTGTGGCCAGAGCTTTCTCAGAACTGACCCCCGCTGCCCGCTGCTCAGGGCTGGGCTCCCAGGTGGGAAGGGAGCTGCTGGGGGAAGGGGTGTGGGCACACAGGGAAGGCGTCTGGGTCAGAAATGCAGAGTAAGCAGAGGAAACATGAGAGAGAGAGGATGCTGCCCACCCCCTGCCCGGGAGCCAGGCCCCGGGGTGGCTGTCCGGGACGCCTGGACGGCGCACAGCTCGGCGCTGCCTCGGGGAAGGAGGAGTGAGCATCACGCCGCCCGCCGGTGAGGCAGCGGCTCTGGCTCCCTGTCCGTCTCCCAGGGCTGGTCACAGGGAAGACCAGATCCTGCGGAACGCCGGGAGGGCACATGTCTGCCCCTCAGCTGTTCCCAGGCCCGGACAGAAGCCCGAGGCCCGCCGCCCCGCTGGTGCAGTCAAACCAGGAAGCCCTGTCTGGGCTGCAGGTAGGACGTGGGCCGCCCCCTGCAGGTCCCGGGAAGGACTGCAGCCCGGAGCTGCAGGAGGCCTCGGACCCCAGCCCGGTGGGTCCCACCCTCCCTCCTCTTCCTACCCCTGCTCAGACCGGGACTGCTAGGCGGCCCCCATCCACCGAGACGTGTGGTCCCCGCCAGGAGGTGCTGGAAACTTGGCTCTTGATGTTTGGTTCTGCCCACAGCATCCATGAAGATGTGTTCTTCGCTGACCCAGCCACCTGACCTACCACCTGACCCAGCCACCTGACCCAACACCTGACCCAACACCTGACCCAGCCACCTGACCCACCACCTGACCCAGCCACCTGACCCAACACCTGACCCAACACCTGACCCAACACCTGACCCACCACTTGACCCACCACCTGACCCACCACCTGACCCAGCCACCTGTCCTACCAACTGACGCCAGCCACCTGACCCAACACCTGACCCAACATCTGACCCAGCCACCTGACACCAGCCACCTGACCCAACACCTGACCCAACACCTGACCCAGCCACCTGACCCACCACCTGACCCAGCCACCTGACCTACCACCTGACGCCAGCCACCTGACCCAGCCACCTGACTCAGCCACCTGACCCAACACCTGACCCAGCCACCTGACCCAGCCACCTGACACCAGAGCCGTGACCGCTAGGCTGGGGGGGTGGGGTATGATGGCAATGCAGCCACAGCACAACTGCTGGGCCAATAACATGTTGGGATTCGGTTAGGTGTCAATCCTGTACACCCGTGGTGGGCAAACTGTAGCTCAGGAGCCACACGCGGCTCTTTGGCCCCTTGAGTGTGGCTCTTCCACAAAACACCACAGCCCGGGCAAGTCTATGTGGAAGACGTGGCGTTAGGAAACGTTTAAGTTTAAAAAATGTGGCTCTCCAAAGAAATGTCGATCGTTGTCCTGTTGGTATCTGGCTCTGGTGTCTGGGGACTAATGAGTTTGCCGACCACTGGTGCAGACCAAGAGTAGACATAAACGTGACGGCTGTCTGAACCCGAGAATGCTTCCTCAGTGTGGCCGTGTGGGCAGGACCAGAGACCACTAACCCCGGGAACACGTGGAGACCCCAGCCCTGTGGCTCAGCCGCTGGGGTTTACCCCGGAACCAAGAGGTCACCAGTTCGATTCCCGGTCAGGGCACAAGCCTGAACCTCATCTCATCTCCTCTCGTCTCAGCCGAGGCGTGCACCTCCAAGGACGTGCCCCTCACCGCTGTCTCCTCTACCAGACGCACTGCTGCTCTAAGACCCGCTGTTCCTGTGGGGACGTCTCTGAGGGACGGAGCGAACAGCCCTTCCCGCCCAGAATCGCTGGCGCCCAGCATGTGCCGGCACCACGGCCCCTAAATAACACCTTCCCACACCAGGCCCCCAGGACGCCTCGGCAGGCCCTACCAGCCACGCTCCCTCCTGCGGCTCTCCGGCCTGAGCACGCTCCCCCTCCGCTCTGGAACCGTCGCCACACTGTGCGCCCCTCACTGCGGGCCGGGCTCTCGTGGCCACACTGTGCGCCCCTCACCGCGGGCCGGGCTCTCATGGCCACACTGTGCGCCCCTCACAGCGGGCCGGGCTCTCGTGGCCACACTGTGCGCTCCCCTCACCGCGGGCCGGGCTCTCGTGGCCACACTGTGCGCCCCTCACCGCGGGCCGGGCTCTCGTGGCCACACTGTGCGCCCCTCACCGCGGGCCGGGCTCTCGTGGCCACACTGCGGGCCGGGCTCTCGTGGCCACACTGTGCGCCCCTCACCGCGGGCCGGGCTCTCGTGGCCACACTGTGCGCCCCTCACCGCGGGCCGGGCTCTCGTGGCCACACTGCGGGCCGGGCTCTCGTGGCCACACTGTGCGCCCCTCACTGCGGGCCGGGCTCTCATGGCCTCACCGCGGGCCGGGCTCTCGTGGCCACACTGTGCGCCCCTCACAGCGGGCCGGGCTCTCGTGGCCACACTGTGCGCCCCTCACTGCGGGCCGGGCTCTCGTGGCCACACTGCGGGCCAGGCTCTCGTGGCCACACTGTGCGCTCCCCTCACTGCGGGCCGGGCTCTCGTGGCCACACTGTGCGCCCCTCACTGCGGGCCGGGCTCTCGTGGCCACACTGTGCGCCCCTCACTGCGGGCCGGGCTCTCGTGGCCACACTGTGCGCCCCTCACCGCGGGCCGGGCTCTCGTGGCCACACTGTGCGCCCCTCACCGCGGGCCGGGCTCTCGTGGCCACACTGTGCGCCCCTCACCGCGGGCCGGGCTCTCGTGGCCACACTGTGCGCCCCTCACCGCGGGCCGGGCTCGAGGGGCTAACGGGAAAAGCCACCTCGCCCTTTCCTTCCCTCTGTGCCCTGCCGCCCTAAGCTCTCCCTGCGGCTGTGCGCGAGCGGCCTCCGGTCCAGCCGCCCGGGCCGGACGTGAGGACAGGACTGCGGGCCGCCCGGGAGAGGCGGGAGGAGCAGGCGGCGAGACAGGGAGAAGCGTGGGGGAGGCGGCAGCGAGGGGGAGCCAGGAGGGTCCCCAGCGGACCAGACAGAGAGGCCGCCCGCCCGCACAGCCAGGGACAGCACGGGGGCCGCGGGCAGAGGGCGCTTCTAAGCGCAGGAACGTGGGTTGGCTTCTCCTGACGCCACCTGGTCAGGAACATGTTTCTGCAACAGAGTGACTGCACAGTCATTGCCCTTACAACTCCACTGACACACTCACACACACGCACACGCCACACGCATACACACACCACACACACGCACACACCACACACACACACACAGCACACACGCACACACATACACACGCCACAGGCGCATGCGCACATACACACACCACGCGCGCGCGCACACGTATACACACACCACATGCACACAGCACACACATGTGCACAGACATACATACCACACGAACACACCACACACGCGCACACGTTCACACGCGCACGCACACGCACACGTACGCACACACACACACGCCACAGGCGCATGCGCACATACACACACCACACGCGCACGCACACGCACATGCACGCACACACGGTGCACACACACCACGCACACAGAGTAAGTCTCTCTCGCCGCGTGCACGTGACACGGCCAGTGAAAGAGCTGCCGGCGGCCCCTCAGCAGCGCAGGCCTCGCTCCCGGGCTCCCTCCACAAGGGGGCGCTCTCTCCGCTCCACCGGCCGCTGCAGCCGAGTGCAGGCTGTTCGTTGACCGGCATTGGGATGAGTCAGGGTCCTCTCTGCCACAGCCCTCAGCGCCCTCCTGCCCAGAGGTCCCAAGGGGAGCCTGCCTCCAGGGGCTTTTCTCTCCTCTGAGAGAGAGAGAGAGAGAGAGAGAGAGAGAGAGACAGAGGGAGAGGAGAGAGAGAGAGAGAGAGAGAGGGAGGGAGGGAGAGAGAGAGAGAGATAGAGA